AAAAAAAAAAAAAGGTAAAGTTTGTTTTGTTGGCAGCATTCTCTGAATCTCCAGATAAGACAGTTAACCTTGCTCAATCCAGTAAAGTCATCTTCTTCCTTGATTATTGCTTTAAGAGTAATTGTGGTTTTCAGGTGAACAGTTTTTACAGTCACTTGTTAGCAGCCAACACTGAAACTTATAGGTAGTACTGGTTAAGGAATATAGGGGGTATGAGGTTAGAGGACAGTGTTTCTCCTGTAAGGTTTCCCAAAGCACACAGTTCTGCTAGAGAGGGGCTGCCAAGGCTGGATACCCATACCACCACAGGGACCCATCAAAGTAAAGACATAGCATATGTTCAGGTTTAAGAGAGGCCATGGTAATAGTAGCACAGTGTTCACAGACAAACTCCCTTTTAACTAGTAAGGTCTACCTCAGTACTGGTCCTCAGTCTCTTTATTAGACTTTTTTTTTTTGAGACAGAGCCTCAAAAGCTATCGCCCTGGGTAGAGTGCCGTGACATTACACCTCACAGCAACCTCCAATTCCTGGGTGTAAGTGATTGTCTTGCCTCAGCCTCCCAAGTAGCTGGGACTACAGGCCCACAGCACCAGGCTTTTTGGTTGTAGTTGTCATGTTGTTTGACAGGTCCAGGCTGGATTCAAACCCACCAGCTCTGGTGTATGTGGTTGGCGCCTTAGCCACTTGAGCTACAGGTGCCACCCAAGACTTTTATTTTTAAAATGAGCTTTGGATGAGGCCAGCCTAAGGTAAATGCTACAAGCAGCTGCTCTGAGCCCAGTGTGCTGTGTCTAATGAAGTCATGAAAGAACCATAAGCCTAAAGGAGTACATGCTGCTTTAAGTTGCAACTCAGTAACCTAGGAAAGAGGCTCTGTCCCTTTCTCTAGGGAATCTGATGTTTACAAAGAAAGATACCACGGCACCTCAGATGTTGTTGTTTCATATTGTGAAGATGGGACAAGGAGATGTAACTATACTCCACTGGGGACTTTCAGAATGTTATCCAGAGAAAATGTTTTGTCCTCTTCCAAACAAGTCAGTGATACCATGTGTCAAGCTTGTTGCACTAAATATTTTTGTCTGATCCCAAAACTGTTATTACTTCAAAGTGCTATCCAAAAAGCACCACTAAGGCTCGGTGCCTATAGCTCAACTGGCTAAGGCGCCAGCCACGTACACCTAAGGTGGCGGGTTCGAATCCTCAGCCCAGACCCGCCAAACAACAATGACGGCTGCAACCAAAAAATAGCCGGGCGTTGTGGCGGGCGGCTGTGGTCCCAGCTACTTGGGAGGCTGAGGCAGGAGACTTGCTTGAGCCCGGGAGTTGGAGGTTGCTGTGAGCTGTAATGCCATGGCTCTCTACCCAGGGGGATAGCTTGAGGCTCTGTCTCAAAAAAAAAAAAAAAAGAAAAAAAGCACCACTAAGACTTTTTGTACTCATTAATATATTAATCGAAAAGGAAACCTTAAATAAGCTGTTTTAAACTGCAACTATGTGCAAATAAATCTGAATATTTGAATTTAACCTTAGACAAAAAAAACTGGCCCCTGCTGCTTAGCTTCCACTTGTTTGTTTACTATCACCTGCTGTCCTATATTTTAAAACTTCCCATCATCAAGTTAGCAATTTTAGGGGAACTGTTAAATTTCCAGAATCTCATGAGAAGTACAGTGAAGGTACAAGTGCCCATAAAGCTTTAGCAGGAGCTCAGCTTTTGCTGCTTCTATTGGAAAGGACTGATCTGCTCAAACTGTTTACCACCTTGGTGGGTAGACACTTGCCCTGGGCTCTTCAGACAAACAGATAGGTATTTAAAAAATACCCAAGGCCTTGATTTACATGTTTTGACCCCCCCCCCCAATAAACCAGAAAAGGTAGAAAGGATGTTTTCATAACTAGCCAAATTTTCTGCCCATAGCGGAGGGACAGTTAGGAGTATTTTTTGAGACAGAGCCTCAGGCTGTTGCTTGGGTAGAGTGCCATGGCATCACAGCTTACAGCAGCCTCCAACTCCTGGCCTAAGCAGTTCTCTTGCCTCAGCCTTCCAAGTAGCTGGGACTACAGGCGCCCGCCACAACACCCGGCTATTTTTTGGTTGTAGTTGTCATTGTTGTTTGGCAGGCCTGGGCTAGATTTGAATCCACCAGCTCTGGTATATGTTGCTGGCGCCTTAGCTGCTTGAGCTAATTGACTAGTGGATTCTGACTATCTCAGAGCTTCTGTGTTAGTGTAGAGAGAACAGCTGATAAGCTAATGAAACATTTTTTAAAAACATACCTTGCCTGCTACCAATAAGATGAGACTGAATCCATAGATGGTCTCATGTCAACCAAAAACGCACTCTATATCAAGTTGGCTCTACAAGAAGAGATTTCAGGGCCTTTCTACATAGGCTAATGTCTCAGGTTTATCATTTGCTATAATGTGGTATTTAAAAGATTTAGAGAAAACTATCAACAGAGCTGGTTCAATTTCCCAGTTTTTAACCATCAGATTTTATATAAGTGCTTCAACTTCTGAAAAGTCAGGTTTCCCATCTGAGAAACAAGACAGTACCTATTTCAGAATGCTGCTTTGAGGTATGCTGGAGATAACTACACAGCACCTAGCACAATGCATGGACCCCGGAAGCAACAAATTACTTTTCATGCTGTATACAGGTAAATTAGGAACTGACCAAGACAATGGAAACAAAAACTTTTAAAATCTAATTTTATTCCTAGAGTTGAAATTAGCTAGCAGGTAGCACTGAAGATACACACCTTCACTATACAAAACATTGTAAACTCATTACTCATTAGGAATTTTAGCACACAGACTTCTAAAAAAAGAAGCTAGATGCAGCCCTTGCTATAAAAAGCTGTACCTGAACAAAAATGGACATGTTTAGTCTAAGGCCCTGGCAGTTGACTACAGAATATCAGTTGTTCCATTTATGTTTAAATGCAGAAATAGCAACAATGTGGGAACTTACATTCATCAAATATTAGGTTTTAAAATATACAAGACTAATAAAGTAAACATTTGGAGGGGCCAATTCTCAGCATGTTCCACATCAGCTACTTGTGGACAGTGATTTCATTTAAAGAGAACAGAAGTTTCAAACATCTGAGTAGTTTAAGTTAAAAATAGGATGAAGGGGAAGTTATAGGATAAGTGTCCTCCAAAGACAGCAGGAGCAGAGCCCACACATGGCACAATCTGACTTCAGCAATTAATGTTCACAGGTCTTATGAGGAAGCCTGGCTGGGAGGCTCCTGTGGCCACAGGCAGACAAGCTCATAGCATGGACTAATGTTTCTATAACTTAGGATATACCTTTCTGTCACATTAGTAGTGAAAATAATTTTTAAAAATAGCTTCAGCCTTTGAACTGTGTTTCCAGTCCCTTCTGTGCATTGAAATGTTTGGGATCAAGTTTGGGGGGCAAGTGTCCTGTTTGGGAGAACCTTGGTTTCAGGACTTGAACACATGCACAGCTCGCACCACATACTGCCGGCAGATGGGACACTCACTCATGCGCTTGCCACACTTGGTGCAGGTAACCATGTGCCCACATTCAAGCAAGACACAGTCGATGACGGCATCCATGCAGATGCGACACAGGCTGTCATCATCTTCCTCCTGCAGCTGCAGCCGCTCACCATCTGAAAGGCAACAGAGAGCTAGAGCCTCAGGTGTAGATGCCCAGCTAAAACTGGGCAGCCATCTGCTGTGACCACTCCAAGTACAGTGCACCCCAGTGCTGTAGCAGAAAATCCCAACTCCTCTACACTTGGTTCTTACCACTAGAAATGGCAACAATGATATGCGTAATACCTCCAGTTTTTGTAAAGAATAAAGTGCTTGATGTACCCAGGAAATGTTAACCCACTTATTGTTATATATCTTTATACAATTTAAGGTATATTTAAGGATATATTTCTTCTGTAATTAGAAAAAAGAAAATAAGCCCTAGGTTGACTTTGTACACTTAGGCTCTGGGTCAGGACACTACTGGAATTTCCGCTCACCTGCCCCAGCATTGTGGCCATGGGAAAGTCATAGTCTCTGGACTCTGAACAGGAAGAACTTTAGTTCCACACTCCAAGGAAAGTTGGAATAATCGTACATCAAGTAATGAAGTACCTCCTCCCCCTCAGCTTTAGAGCATCTCAAGTTATCTGTGCTTCTAGCCCTGTTGGAGTTCAACTCAAAAGGATGGGTCATCCTGTCTGTATGCCCCAGATGTAGGTTTTCAGGAAATCCAGGCTCTGAACAAAGGCAATGAATAAGTTATGGTTTGGGGTTTTTTTTTCCAAGACAGTCTCACTCTGTTCCCCTTGGGTAGAGTGCTGTGGCATCGTGATAGCTCACAGCAATTCCTGGGAGCTCAAGTGATTCTCTTGCTTCAGCCTTCCAAGTAGCTGGGACTACAGGTGCCTGATTACCACACACAGCTACTTTTTTTAGTACATATGGGGTCTGACTCTTGCTCAGGCTTGTCTCAAACTCCTGAGCTGAAGTGATCCTCCTGCCTTGGCCTGGGATTACAGGCGTGAGCCACCACACCTCCCCTCCCAATGAATGATTTTTAAAAGTTGTCAGGCTGGGTGTGGTGGTGGCTCACACCTGTAATCCCAGCATTCTGGGAGGCCAATGGTGGCAGCCTGAGCAACAGTGAGACCCTGCCTCTAAAAGTAGCTGGCCATTGGGCAGCACCTGTGGCTCAAAGAGTAAGGCACCAGCCCCATATATCAGAAGTAGTGGGTTCAAACCCGGCCCCAGCCAAAAAACAAACTGCAAAAAAAAGAAGGTAGCTGGGTGCTATGGCAGGCACCTGTAATCCTAGCTACTTGGGAGGCTGAGGCAAGAGAATAGCTTGAGCCCAAGAGTTGGAGGTTGCGGTGAGCTATGACGCCATGGCACTCAACTGATGACAACAAAGTGAGACTGTCTTAAAAGAAGAAAAAAAAAAAACCTCAGCCTGAAATCTGGCCACAGAGCTATGGAAGTTGAGGCTTCTCTTCTTACAGGTCATGGAATCAGTGGGCATCAGGAACCAAACAGGAATTATAGGGCCAGTCATCTGGACAAGAGAAATAAGTATTTCACAGCCTGCCATGTTAGGAGATTCTTGTAATCTGGGATCTTACTTGATGGACTGTGACAACTGATGTGGACCTGGAGGGAGGATTTGTGGAAGGAGATGTAAGATGAACAGAGGAGAAGAGGGCCTTGGCTCCTCTCCTATGTGAAATTCTAACTCTCTATAACTTAAGACAGCAGAGGAGCCAGACAGCATCTGTCAGGGCTGTTTAGGGTCAATGTTAGCATAAGTGACTGGAAGCCTATAAAGCCAAGAAGATTCTAGCTGTGCTCAAAACAAACGTGTATTCCACCCAAGCCAGAGATTAAACCAGTGTTACACTAAGCAGTGAGTTAACTGAGAAAGACACTAGAAATCATGTGTGTCATGGCTTCCTAACCAAAAACACCTAGAGGGTGGGAGTGGCTGTGCATTACCATCAGGCACTACACATAGTTATTTATATTTACAAAGTAAAGTGACTCACCCCTTGAGGCCAGGATACTGTTTCCCAGCCAGTACCCTAAACGCTGAAGGCTCTAAGGCTGAAGAACCCTGTATCTACTATTATGGCATCATCTTAGAAACAGGTGCACCAAATTCATCCTGCATATTCTGGGTATAATCCTGTTTGTTCATCAGCAAGTGCTGTATTATAACCAGCTTTTAAAGAAACTCAAGATAAACGTCAATAATGGGAAGACTGTTTAAGTCTAGATAAGAACATAAAATTTGTGAGTCTAAATACCACCACTGAATTATTTTTCCTTTCCATAAATGCTCCGTAGCTTGGCCCTTTTACCAGCTGATGGAGAATTTTTATGCCCCAGCTTGTCAATAAATAGTTCAGAAATTTTTAACCTCAGCTTTTTGTACTTACACAGAAATCTATGAATACTTGATGCTAAGAACTACTTAATGTCTTGGGCTATAAGGGATCCCCCACAAACACACTGTTTAAAACTATAGTTGAGATAACAAAGTACTGGCCTACCAGAGGGGAGATAATGAGAAAAATAAGCATTTTTATAGAGATAAGTAATTTCATTAGGTTCTAACAGTTGATTATGGTAAGAAAACCAGACTGAACAATTATTATCTAGCATACTTGGCAATGGTGGTCTCAGAGCCAACATTGTATAATAAACTTAATACTTAACAGATCTGTACACACATATAACTAAACTAATTTATGCTCAATGAAAAGGTAGACAGCTTTCTCAAAAATACATCTGACTAAATCGTGACAGAAGCAACCCAGTTTTTAAAAGCCTAAGGAATGATACTGTTAGGGAAGAAATCAAACAATAAACCTACATGATTTCTGGTTTTCTTCATTCTCTTTGTATAACCGGTTTACTTTCTCTACCAGCTCCCATTTTTCACAGCAGCCGGAATAGTTGACAAAATTCCGAGCCAGGATTTCCTTCAACTGACGCACACTCATCCCTTCCACATCTTCAAGGCTTGACAAGTCAGACAGGGAAGCTCTCACTCTCTTCTTAGAAAGCCCAGGAGTCTGAAATCACAGAGCATCCATTACCTCTGGTCCCACAAGTCTAGACTACCCTCATCCTATACTCATCAGTGGTCCTGAATATTCTTCCCAGACTTCTCAGCAGTCCTTTAGTGTTTTAAAATACTGTCCTACATTCAAACCAGAAGAAACATTCTGTGCTAATCTAAAGAAAGTTCATATGGGGGCATCTTCCTTTCCTGCTAGATGGCCATGTCAGGGGAACCAAATCCTACTGGAAGTCTCACCCGATCCTCCATATTTTCTTCGTCGTCGTCGTCATCGTCATCATCATCGTCGTTGTCGTCATCGTCATCGTCATCATCAACATCGTCATCATCATCTGTGTTTGCTGAAGCTATTTCACTCTGTACCTATATACACAATGTATCTGATTAGGTCAGGAATCATTTTCCTAACAGTATCAACCCATGTTTATCACTGGAGAAAACCTTTCCATAGATCAGTGGTT